TGAATAGCAAAGTTCTTTGATCACAACCATTTATTTTTTACGAGAGGACGTTTCGATGACCGTCTGTCATCTTCATCAGGGCAATTCTGACTGGTTTGCTGTGTACTGACGCTAGAACCAAGTAACAATGCACTGTGAGCCATGTAAAACCTTTAGCGCACTACGCACCAAGTAACATCTACATGTAGCGTCAGTGCACAGTAAACCAGTCAGAATTGCCCTGATGAAGATGACAGACGGTCATTGAAACATCGGCTTGTAAAAAATAAATGGTTATGATCAAAGAACTTTGCTATTCAATACAACATGCAGTCATGATGTGGAAGCTACTGACTTGTCGACTTCATCACACGTCTCCAGACTCCAGACGCGGATGGTACAGTCCTGTGATGATGAGATGATGAAGGGTCCGTACGGGTACACCACCAGGTCTGTGATCGCTCCCGTGTGTCCCACAAACACCATCCGCAGGCCCCAGTTATCATCCCACACTTTCACTGTCAAGTACAAGGACAACATCAGTAACAGGTCTTACCAATTATACTAGGTTAGTTGAAGACAATGGGAGTTTTTTAAGGTTATTTCTAAATCTACTGGTATATTACGTAAGTCATGTAAATAAGCATATGACTTGGAATTCTGACTTCTAAACTTAAAGGTTCATTTTTTCCTTAATCAATCTCAGAACAGTTATCAAACAGCAGTCTTGAGTCCTGATAGAATTTTGAATTCAAGTAGGGACTGTATGCTTACCTGAACCATCCTTTGATGCTGTTACTAGGTTCTTGAGTGGATTGAAGAACAACAAGCTGAAAAGAGGCGCAAGAAAAAAAATCAGGTTACCCTTTGGGATTACAAAACTTACTGAAACTTTGGTCTGAAACTAAATAACTATCCAATGAACTTCTAATTAACTCATAGAAATTGTAGTTGACCTGATGTAAATCAGGATTTGGGGAGAAAAAGAAACAGTGAGAATAAATATAAGAAACAGAATGTTTTCTCTATTCTGAAGTGCAACCTAAGAAACCTTCAAGCTTCAGAGCTCAACCTTACCTGGTGATATTTCTGGCATGTAAATCTCGTCTGTAGCAGAGCATCTGGCACTGATACAAATTAAAAACCTGCAAAAACAAAACCCAGAACTCAAACAAAAATAAAACTATGCCAACCAAGGAAATAAAACATAAACATAATAATCATAATATTATGACAGTTGTGTTTAGTATCTTGAAAAGCATACTGATGTTTCACAGAATACCAACGCAAGAAAAAACAAAACCATACCAACGAAGCATATTAAAAAAATCAGACTACACTTCTGTAGAGTTAAAAGTTATGCTTTTTTTTACTGTTGGGTATTATTGTCTTTGGGCCACACCAATTTGATTTGTTGGTTCTCAGATTTTTTTAGACAAAATATAAAGCAACAGGGCGGAAAAAAAAGTCAACATATCAGACTGGTTTGTAATTCAAACAATAAATTGCAAACTTTTAATCAAACCACTGCATTAATAGATGGAAAAACTGTAAGAAAGTGTAACTCACAGCTACAGCTGTTCCACAGACAGCGTAACATCTCTGCTGTCTGCTTGCTGTGTCCTCCAGGGCCAGGTGTGTGAAGACGTCCTGAGATGTCAGCCCCTCCGTCACAACCTTCCTCTGTATCAGGTACCTGTTACAGTACCTAAAGCACCAGCACTGTGGAGGGACATGATTATTATTATTATTATTATGATTATTATGTTATTATGTTACATATTGTTTTTGCTCTGTTTTTGCTCTGTTTCTTCTTCTTCCGTTCCAAACAATCACCTGGTCAATGACCTGAACCAGACATTTGTCACCATGGTAACTAATATTGGGTTACACCATGTTGCAATTTTATAGTAGGAGGGATTTAGACTGTTGTCACTGTATATGTGAATGTGTGAGTGAGAATTAATTAATTTAGAAGTAGCAGAGACCATTTAATATGTGTCAAGAAAATGTCTGACTTACAGAATATCAGAACCAGCAAAGTGACAAACTGAGGATGTTTGACTTACCATAATGTGCCCCACTCCTGCTGTGACCACCTCATTGGTGTTCTCATTGTATGTCAAGCTAGAAAACAAAAAGAAAAGATACAAATTTCTCCAGTGTTCTTACAAGGACAAGCTTATACAATATTACACCAAATCAACAATTTTCTTAATTTTAGAAAGGTATAAGGGTTTTTTTAATACTTACCATTTTATTTGGTATGGCGACTGTGCACACGAGAGAAATTCAAACTCAGCATTCAGCAGCTGTAAGGCAATGAGAACATCACAACATGATATACATGTACATGTACATTGTACTTCCATGTATACTGTATACCGCAATCCTTTTGTTCGCCATCATCAAAGCTTGCCCTTTTGTTAATACATGTATTGCAAATCATGATCAACAGCATGCTTACTGGTAGTACTAGTGCTGTATACCTAAACCCACATTTAGGTTCTGGTCGGCACTCGTAAGTACGGACCTAAACCCAGTAGGTAGTACTTAAATTTTTACTGCCGTATGCAATGTTCTACTCCGCTACCAATTAGACTATTGGTAGGGCTAACTTGTAAAGGTGTGTTGCACCATCCACTCTACCGGCTTCAGTGAACATTGTAGGTTCAAATCTCACCTTGAACTCATCGTCCCCTGCCCAGGTGACATACTGGTCCACCTTGCTGCAGTACAGAAGTCTGTCCACCTGTTCGTCCAGGTAAACACTGTACTTCTTCCTGCCGTCCAGGTGGAACACGTGGATGGACTCAGTGTCCACACTCAGGTACTCCTGTGGAAAACATGGTGAAAATGTGATTCAGTCCATTTTAGCATCCTCAAAAAACTAATCTTGCAAGTTGTTGGTCATTATAGAAACAACAGGTCTAGTGCTGTGTACCTAAACCCACATTTAGGTTCAGGTCCGGATTCAATTTCAGAGGTTTAGGTTCAGTTCCGGGCCCATGGGATATACAAAATTGCATGTTGGCAACCTCACAGTGTTGTTTGGGCAAAACTGTGGCCACATAACATGGAGGCGGACACTTGACGATGCCCGATGGCAATGTTTTCTAAATTTTGCAGCACAGATTTTGCAATCTATGGATGGTTTTAGGTGGTATGGAAAGAAAAGGGGTATGTGACATGTTTTTTTTTTTGTAATAAGTCCGTAATCGGTTCTTGACTTTTAGGTTTTTTTGGACTTGAACCTAAACATGTTTACAAGTCTTGAACCAGTCCAGCGAACAGGTACACAGCACTAAACAGGTCTGATTCATTATAATGTGTTCTTCTTTGATTTGCACTCAGCATTTAGGAGACTAAGGAGAGGAATTAGAAAAAAATATGGTACACACAACACTACCAATGTGGACTAGCCACCTGTTGTAGTGACCCTGTATGGCCCAAGGGCCATAGATGCAGATGGGCACCACCCCTATATGCCAAAACATGTGGGAGGGAGTTTTTAACATAACCTTTGCACCTAATAACTGAATAAGAGAGCATTCTTTTGAATTTTTTTTTATTTCTTTGCTTTTGTTTGCATTTATAACTGAGGTGGAAAGGGCCTTGCCTCCTGTACAGGCTCCAGGATGGGTGGGAATTTTGATATAGCGTTTTGAAGAGTTTTTAATGCGTTATTTTAATAGCCGGCCATCCTACAACCAGCTGCCGAGAGAAGGTTCCATTCCACCCAAAACTCTTCAAAACGCTGTATCAAAATTCCCACCCACCCTGGAGCCTGCACAGGAGGCTAGGCAGGGCCATGGAAGAGTTCTAGCGCAGCTACAAGATTCTCACCTGCGTGTTTTTGTTGTAAATGACATGTTGGATGAACTCATCGTGGTTGAGTTTCCTGACGGGATGCATGCCGTGTTGGATGGCGACAGTCTTCATGTCCGCCTTCTTCACAGCCTCGATCCCCATCTTGATGGAGTCCCTCAGGAGTTTCCAGTACATCCTGGCCTTCTCCCTGTCCAGTTCAGGATCCCGCTTTCTGCCACCAGGTGTGGAGAGTCCGCTCACGGTGCTCATGAAGGTCCGTTCCCGCTTCATGCTGCTGAGGTCCCGGTCGCTCAGATCCGTCATGAACGTTCTTTCGCGGGACTCGTACGCGGAATCGCGTCCCCCGCGTTCAGACGCGGTGATGGTGCTGCCGCGTGTCCTGGGCATGTCATCCATGGCGGATTTTTTTTCCTTGTTCCTCGGGATATGAGTAAGACTTGTTGCTGTACTTAGATTAGATGCTGGATAAGATGGAAATGCATCGATGATACAAATTCATGTTGATCATCTGTTCAAGAGGACAACAACAGTACTAGTCAGGATCAAGTCTTCCAGTAACAACAACAAGTGTTCCATAGATGTAGATGTCACAATGCAGAAACCTTTTTTCAAAAAGGAGAAAAAAAATTCAAATTCTTAAGAATTTTATGAAATATTTTCACCCAGTTAACGTTGGTTGTTACAGTTCTAAACTGTATACCCCCGTAGGACACAACTTGCTTTTACATTATGACTTGTTTGTTTACAAATCATGTGCCCACACATTTCAAAATGTCGTAGACATACACATCTTCGAGACGTAAAATATTACGTATATGAACGTACTAATACCCACAAACACAGAACTAACCCCTGTAGAATTTGGTAAACTTGTGCAAAACGCACAGTAAACTGTCAAAAAGTCAACAGAGGAAGAAGTATAAATTATTTAAAAGCACAACAAAACTGCTGTAAAGGTTTCTAGTCGTTTCCCCCCCATGCCTTTTCCCCCCCATGTCAGTCTGGTCATCTCCCTGTTAGTGGTTATGACTCCTAAAGTTATTTTTTTCAATCTAAGATAAAATTATGTTACTATAAGTGTTTACATGTGATGTCGTTGTTGCATACTACTTTCTTTTATGTTGACTACCGTTTTGCCTGGTGTTAGCACAGCGCCAGATGCAGTGACAAGTTATACATAAAGATTGAAAACATTGAAACGTAAACATCTATGATTTAAAATATTTCAAACATAAACGTCTCTGACTTAAACATTTAAACACAAGCAAGCAGTTGCTGAAATCTCCAACTTGACACCGCACCTGGGCTGTGTTAGTGGTGGGGGAACCTGGCATCCCCGCCCGCCGCAGTGAAACTGACGGCTTGTTAGTCTGTAAAATTCTATGAAACTGGGGAAAAACTACAACAAAAGTACAGATATCACACTAACTATCACATGTAAACAGTTATAGTAACCTACGTTTATCTTAGATTTTAAAAATAACTTTAGGAGTCATAACAACTGACAGGGAAATGACCAGACTGACATGGGGGGGAAAAGGCATGGGGGGGAAACGACCTGCTACCGCTGTGGTTTGACCTATATATTTTATGTCGAAAAGCAAGAAATGACGCATAGTAATTCAGCAACAAATGAACTCCAAGAAATCTATAACACGCTATCTCTTGGTGCAATAACTTGTATCTGCTAAAGAAAGCCGTAATATTGTATAAAACAAGGGAAAGTTTGAAGTTACCTTTGCAAAGTTTGCTTCCGCCGCCATGTTGTTTGTCACCATGGCGTCCGTGGCATCATGGGAAGTTTACCTCATCACTCAAACTCATGAAAAAGTAATGCACTCATTAAACATTAATGATAAATTTTATGGCTTTTCCTCATCACCTTATCATTTATGATATATATCGTTTCATTTTTGAGTAAATGTTATCAAGTAAATTTGTCGTAATTTTTCCAGTGAAAGTGATAAGTTTCCGCACTATTTTCTCTGTTTCCCCAGCACCGGTGACCGCGTAGGAGTACAGGTCACGGGTGTGCTGTCAGGCACTTCCGGTATGCGGGGAAGATGCAGTGATTTCAGCGGTGAGTCTTGCCTTCATTTTACCGGCAATTTCCCTTCCCCCGGGCGCTCCGACGTTCTCGGCGAGGAAACGTCTCGCTTCTTGCTCGACACTGGAAAGTAGCCGACGCCGTAATTAGCTTGCTAATATCTCCGGGAGGTTGTCGGTGGGGTTCTCCGTACACCTGTTACGGCATGGCGGAGGTACCTGTGTTATCCCGCACTGCAGCGTTTTCGAACCATGCACCATTTCGCTTGTTCAGCTGTACACTTTAGTGTAAACATGCTGCCGTAACGTACGGTTTCTGGTTAGGGTTCATGTGTCAAAGTGCCCGTGTCAGTGTAGCACGGCCTAGCTGTAAGCATCAAGGCGAAACCGCCGATGTTTTGGCCCAGAAAACATGCGTTTGTGTCCGTGGTGAGAAGATTATGCCGGTTGGTCCGTCATTTGCATGAAATCAATATTTGATGGGACACACCCTCTCAGCACCTTGCCCTTGCAGCTATCCGGCACAGCAGGGAAGGGGGGGGGGGCATACCCTGTGATATTTCATACCACCTGTTCGTATGCCTTAGCTGTACAATGTACTGGTAATATTCCTGCTGTCAGTTTGCATCACATGTAGTTTATACGGGACCGTTTATACATGTACGTGTTTGCTTGTAACATCTGTGTCCATAATATCACCAGGGTCCATAATATCGCCACCTTGAGAAACAGTGTGCTTAAAGATATTTTTACTGCAACATACTTTTGGTATGCACTCCTTCACACATGAAATGTACATACCTAGGGTATGTTGCAGTAAAAATATCTTTAAGCACACTTTTTCTCAAGGTGGCGATATTATGGACCCTGGTGATATTATGGACACAGATATTACAGATAGTATGGTAACGTATTGTCAAACACTGACTCACACAGTCACAGTATAGGATCAGAATCAATCAATCAATCAATCAATTACATTGATCAGTCAATTAATCAATCAATCAATCAAACAGAAGGTTGCAAAAGAAGACGGGGCATACCCTGTGATATTTCCATACCACCTGTTTGTATGCCTTAGCTGTACAATGTAATGGTAATATCTCTGCTGTCAGTTTGCATCACATGTAGTTAATACGCGTTTGCTTGCAGTACTGAAAGTACATTACCTATATTGACTAACACAGTCACAGTATAAGTTCAGAATCAATCAATCAATGAAATTGATAGGTCAATTGATCAGTACCACCTGTTTGTATGCCTTAGCTGTACAATGTAATGGTAATATTTCGGCTGTCAGTTTGCAATACATGTGATGTAGTTACTAGTACACTTTTGCTTGAAGTACTGATCATAGCATAGGTTTAGAATCAATCAATCAATCAATCAATCAATCAGTCAATTTTAGTACCATCTGTTTGTATGCCTTAGCTGTACAATGTAATGGTAATATTTCGGCTGTCAGTTTGCAATACATGTGATGTAGTTACTAGTACACGTTTGCTTAAAGTACTGATAGCACATTACCTGTATGGTCAAACTCTGACTCACACAGTCACAGCATAGGTTTAGAATCAATCAATCAATCAATCAGTCAATTTTAGTACCACCTGTTTGTATGCCTTAGCTGTACAATGTAATGGTAATATTTCGGCTGTCAGTTTGCATCACATGTACATTTGTAGTTATGTGTTTGCTTGAAGTACTGATAGCACATTACATGTATTGTCAAACTCTGGGTCATACAGTCACAGCATAGGTTTAGAATCAATCAATCAATGAAATAGATAGGTCAATCAATTAATCAATCAAATAGAACCTTGGAAAAGCATAATAGCACTAGGTACATTTTTGTAACATTAAACCATGGAGGTACAACACAAACTCTGGCTCACACAGTCACAGCATAGGTTCAGAATCAATCAATCAATGAATTGATAGATCAATCAATTAATCAATCAAAATAGAATCTTCCAAAATCATAGCATTAGGTACATTTTGTGACATTAAACCATTGGGGTATTCTCCCAGTCTGAACAGTATATATATATAGAATACAACACGGGGTATTCCGTATCGCCCGAGGTACCAGCCCGACCGCGCGTCGGATCGCCCGACGGCCGAAGGCCGGAGGGAGATCCGATCCGCGGGAGGGCTGGGACCGAGGGTGATGCGGAATACACCGTGTTGTATTTTATTTATGTCATACCGACCCACGAAAACACGCCTTTCAATGCGAAATGAGCAAAAATTTGGTGTCCCTAATCCCAAAAAAACGCAACAATCAATTCCAACGTCCGAATTTTGCATTCGAATTTTCGAAAGCGGTGCAAGCGGTTAGGCCGAAACGCGTTCGAATCGTTCTATGGAACATTTGGAATGACCGGGCCGTACGCGTTAAGAACCCCCGGGCTGTACCGCTAGTTATCACACGGGCCGGAACACCCGTATCGAACGTAATCGCGGCCCAGGTAGGACATAAATATAGTTTATTTACCTTCCCCATTAGAGGTACAAATGTATTTACAAATGTAAGGTATTTGTTATGGTGACAGGTAGCGCTTTTGTATGTACAAGAAAAGAAACATGAGCAATATAAGCAGTCAACATTTTACCAGTAAAGAGAATAAAAATACACATGCCTTTTTTTTTAATTTGAAGCAACAGCAAAGACAACATACAAATGTTGCAAAACACAGGATGCCTTTAATTATGAATAATAATTTCATGAGATGTTCTGCCTAACGTATGATGTGTTATAATGTGGTCATAAAAAGGAGTACAATTATGATTTGTTATGGTACATTCAGCAAGCCATGATTTTTGATTGAATTACTTTGAATAGCTAAGGAATACCATGGCGATACCAAAATTGAATTAAATCAAGTGGGTATCAAGGCTGGCTTGGCATGTTAATTGTCATCCTGTCAATGCTCAGATAGAACTGTACCAGCCATTAGAAATATGATACATGTGCGTGTGTGCCATCAAACGCATCTTCTACAGTGTTAGAAATACCCATCTGCAGTCTGCATTTTGCAGAGACATTTTCAATATCGCAGAAGAAAAATTAAGCAACCAGCAACTTTGCAGACTGAAAAAAAATCAGGATAGGGGTTCAATGGTGTTTAAGAGCTTTTGTGTTTTGTACTAGTAACGTTACTGACTCTATGATATACGAGTAATTTTGCATGTATTTTTCAAGTTGCATGTAAAATGCTTACCAACATGCAATTTTGAATATGCCATGGTTTAGATTTGGACTTTTAAGTGTGTATTTGCAGAAAGTATTACCGAATTTCAGAACAAAATTGTGACATTCTGCAATATTTCAGAACACGAAAAAAAGTATTTCTACCACTTTTCTGTGATATGCTATAATTTTGACCCCTCATGCTGTCTTTCAACCAGCATAGGGGTGTTTTGGGATGGAGAAACTTCATAAATCTTGCAAAAAATGAAAATATCACTTTAGAATGAAGCTATAGCAAAGGGAAAACCTTTAAGTTAATTTCACAAAATCTGTTCCTCATTAAACAAGAAATAGTGTCTCAGGGGGTTATGAGTTTCAATCAAAATATTTCGGCTAGATGTGCGATTTGCGCCACGAAAGTTGCTCTTCTGTACTTGACCCCTATGCTATGAAAAAATCCTGGCTAGAATCCTGCCACCCTGTACAGTTCTTCTATTCTGCCTGTAGTGTTATCCTCCCATGGTAGTATTATGATTTATCTCCTGCCAGTCAGTAACAATTTGATAACAGTAACTTTTTTTTAGGTCAACAACCTCAGATGCCATGTGATTCAAATATTTTCAATTTCCTGTTGCAGTTCCATGATGAATACTGAATCCCCCATCTCTCTCCAACCAATCTCCTCAATCAAGGATCTGTCCCAGGTTTCATTCATCATAAGTCATGAAAATATAGTGATATACTAGTATATATAGTGATATATTACTAGTAAATATAGTGATATACTAGTAAATATAGTGATACTAGTATAATAGACAGTTACTTCAGATATATCATAAGAGCTGACTTTTTGCTGAAATATAGACTAATCTACAATGTAATTACTCCGTGAAGAAGGTATCCCTCCAGCAGGAGTATTGTGGTCAGTCAGTTTTTCGTGTTCGCAGCTAAAACACAAGGTTCCTTTCGTTTAATCGGCATATAATTTTATACGTGGTCTGCAGGCATGCCCGTGATGATGCATAATTTTTACTTTTACCATAGCTGTTTTTGCGGTCAATGTAATATTTCAGAAGCATCCCTACATTTAAAAGGCATTTTGGACTGGCTGCAAAAAATGTTGTTTTGAATAGCGGGGGAGGGGGTTGTGATAATCCTTCAGGCAGATACGAAGGGGGGTCGTTAATTAGAAACAGCTGTTTTGTCGCCCGTTGGAAGGTATGGGGGCTAGATTTGATAATTAACACATCTCCAGTGCAGTGAACTGATATATAAATTAAATCAATTTGCCCTGCAATGAAGATCAAAGGTGATGAGATAACCACAGATATCACACACAGTAAGGGATGGTGATAACACAAAGAACCGATAAATAAAATCAATTTGCCCTGCAATGAAGATGTTGGTCAAAGGTGATGAGATAACCACAGATATCACACAGTAAGGGATGATGATAACACAAAGAACCGATAAATAAGATCAATCTGCCCTGCAATGAAGATGTTGGTCAAAGGTGATGAGATAACCACAGATATCACACAGTAAGGGATGGTGATAACACAAAGAACCGATAAATAAGATCAATCTGCCCTGCAATGAAGATGTTGGTCAAAGGTGATGAGATAACCACAGATATCACACAGTAAGGGATGATTATAACACAAAGAACTGATAAATAAAATCAATTTGCCCTGCAATGAAGATGTTGGCCAAAGGTGATGCGATAACCACAGATATCACACAGTAAGGGATGGTGATAATAGTAACCGATAAATAAAATCAATTTGCCCTGCAATGAAGATGTTGGTCAAAGGTGATGAGATAACCACAGATATCACACA